ATATATATATATATATATATTGGTTTTTTAAATATTTTTTATTGTATTAAACTTCAACAATCGGCAATTAAATCAATCGAAATTTGGTCAAAGTTATTTTAATATTTATTTTCATCGAAGTAAATTAACTTTAATCTCGATTTAATTTACTCTTTACTTTTGACTTAGAACTAGAAAAATATACAATTATAAGTAACACTTATAAGAATAAAGCAATTAATAGAAATAATTTTATTTTCGATCACAAAGAGGATTCTGGTGCTTAATAATAATAAATTATGTGCAAAAATATAAAAAGTAACCGAGAATAAAGTTAATCCGTATTGATAGAAATAGACATAAGTCACGTGATTAATTTGAGCTCGAAATAGCTGTGACAATTCGTCGTCGATCTCGCGTCGACCGGTTGGATTTCTTTCGCTGTATATTTCGATCACATCAAATAAGGTTTTTCACGTCTCGAATAATAAATGTTAAAATTACGCCATTTCGCATATGATCTCAGTGACGTTAACTCGGAAAATTGTGACAACTCGCGGTCGGAGGTTGCAACTAACACTTTGATTAATATCGTAGTATTGGCAATGCCTGTGGTACTGCGGCGAATCACGGAAAATTCTCCAGCGGGAATAACTTTCCGCAACATCGCACTCCGAACGTTAAACGTCGTCCGCAAGTCGTCGATAATGAAAATTGGAAAGACGAATTATTAAATAAACATCATCATATGGAACGGTGATTGTAATCAATCTGAAAAGCTATCGTTATACGCACATGATATGCGATGCGCACGATAGCCGAGGGTCTCTCGCTGATCTCGGCCTGCGACGTCTCGGAATCCGCCATCGCTCCGGCCGGACACCTTGAATTCGACGCGGCCCGCGATGACGAAGGACGACACGGCCGAGAAAGGTCGAGGTCTGCGCGTCGTCCACGACTTCTAAATTTAGCTGGTTAGCAGACCGGCGATACACGAGGCAACCCGTCTCCTCGTTATCCCGGGTACTCCACGTCGCGTCGATCGGAGACGCAGTCCCTTCATGCGCTTCTCGATGCTTTTCATCGACCGCGTCGCATCAATGTTTGTGGCAGCAACGCGCGCGAAATACAAAGATTAAAGTAAAACATATTACACGTAAAAAGGTCTGTTCTTTATAACTGAACTGTTGTACTTAAAAATAGATATACATTTGAAGTTTGACAAAAGCGATATAGAAAGTTTTAGTAGAGCTATAGAGAAAACAAATTTAGATAACATGCAATGTCTAGAAGACGTTTATGGTGTCTTTTAGATATTTTTTTAGACAGTATATATGTCCTAAGAAACATCTTTATGATTGTGATGTTTTTATGGCGTCTTTCGTAGATATACGTATTATCTGGAAACCTAAAGATCCGAAAAAAAGAAAGCGCGAATAAACGTTAGATAAACTAGTTGTTTCGATGAAGGCACAAATATATTCTATTCTATATCTATGGATAAGGATGAACGACGCTGTAATTATTGTCAAAATGAATATAACCCATTCAATCAATTGTAAGCGACTTGAACTATAATAGTTTCAAACGAAGCCTAACTTAAAATCACTCATTAAGTATTTACAGTAAAAGACCTATTTGGAGTATAGGTCTTATTTTAAATTTAGGGTGTAAACGTAGCTTAACGCGATGATTCTTTTCTCCAAGCGTTAAACGACAAACTAAACACTAGACTCGTAAACGACGATTTGTACGATCGACTTCTTGGGTGGCGCCATTCCAGATACTGCGATGTCGCGCAATACCGCCTCCACTGCTTCTTCCCAGTTCTGATCCTTTGTGATGCTCCGGTCTATGGACGCGGACCATTTTAGTCGTGGCATAGATATGACCGTCAGTACTTTTCTAAAATTGGCATTTTATTGTTAATCTTCTTCTAACGATTTCTTGGAAAATATCAATAAGGAAAATCATTTATTAAAATTTCTCTGTAGCTAATTGTAGAAGAAATAATAAAGAAAGATATATACCGTATATCAGAGTGTAACGCCGACATATCGCCGCCTGCTTGTTCACCTAATTTCCTGAGAGCCTCAGCCAATGGACCGCTCAGTCTTTGTAGTCTTCTCCAAGACTGAGCGTACTGTCTTCTGACGAGCTCGATGATGGTGCTAGTCAGCGCCAAGCCGACCAAGATGTACAAAGTGCACAATAAAGTGTACTTCGGCTTCTCTGAATAAGATTAACAGACAATATGTAAAAATAACTACATTAAATTTGGCGCAAATAAATATTAGCCAATTATCTACTTTCATTGAGATTCGAGATTCTGGAGATACAGGAGATTTTTATTTTTTATTTACTTGGGACGAGATCGCCAAAACCTATGGTGGTCATGGTCACGAAACAGAAGTAAAATCCATCAAAAAAATCCCAATCGTCCTCCCACAACATAAACATTCCAGCTCCGCAGGCGAGATAAAGAAAGAGTAGCATAATGGTGGCACAAGCACCTAGAAAAAAAAGATCATTAGATCAGAAATCGACTAAATTAATTAAAAATGTATTTGTATATATTTACATATAAATATTATTATTATTAAGTACCAAGATCTAACTTCAATCGTATTTAACTTCTTTATTTATTTTATCTAAATCAATTACGATTAATTACCTCACCTAGTGACCGTCGACCAGTTACATTCGTCGGGATGAACGAAAGCTTCGCGAGAAACGGAAGTTTCGACTTCACCATCAACCCGATATACACTATTGCGTTTGCGAATAGTTTTCCCCAATCAGCGATTACTATCAAGGTGAGAGGTATACCGACGAAAGCGAAAAAGATGCAGAAAATTTTTCCCCAGTTGGTCGAGGGCACAACATTGCCATATCCTGCAAATGTAAATCATCGTAAAACTAATATTCGTTTCTATCAATGTAGATTAATTTTAATTTCAATACAACTTACTCTTCATCTTTTTAGTTCTAAAAATTATAAGAGTAAGTTGAATCAAAATTAAAATTAAACTACATTGGTTAAAATAAATTGATATCTCCTTAAATCTAATATTCGCTAATTTAATACTAAAAGACATCAGTAATTAATTCTATTTATTTATTTTAAATATTAAAAGTATTATTGTTTAGTACTCCAAATAAATAATTAATTACTATCTTTAGTATTAAATTGATCAGTATTAGATTTTTATATAAAAGCAACAAAATATTGTCGAAGTTTTCAACTTTATCTAATTTTAGAGATGACGGAATTTTAATACAAGATGATTTTTTCTTTGCGAGAAAGAAAAAATAATTATTGATTCCATATATTATAATAAATTCTTCAATAAAATCTTCGGTGATAATTAGAACTAGATACCGATTGTTGTGAGGACCGTACTGGCGAAGAAAATTGCCTGGAGAACGTTCCATCTCTCCGTCACAATGGGTGATAGTTCCAATTCAGAAAAATCAGGACGATTAATGATATCTGTCACGAAGCTGATCAGGAGACCTGCCTCCGCTGCTTCCTGAACCGCTTCTTCATAGGTGCGCAATTTCACGCTTACCTGGAAGACACCAAGTATCGTGAAGGAATATTCATATTTCGATGTCGTTAATTTCTTACCAAGGTATGCAGATTAAAAATGTCCGTGCTGTTGGAAATTGTCTCCACAAAGCGATATCGTTGCATACGTAATCTTGCGCGTAAACGCTCGAGTCGTCTGAGCTCCGCCGGAAGTTCGATCTGCCGGAAAACCTGGAAACATATTTAAAATAAAAAATTTTATGAAATAATTTTGATATATAAATTATATTTTGAAGCGCATAAATCTAAATTGCTTAAGATAACAATTATACTGAACGATCATTATTGTTTCTAAATGTTTAAGTCAATAATTAAATAAAATTATATCCTAAAGGAAGTTAAGTAGCGTATTGTGTAAAATGATTAAATAAGACTATATTTTAAAAAGTGTTAGCATATTTTTTATTTAACATTATTATTTAATACTATTATGTCATTCAAAATTTTAAATTAAATAGTACTTATTTTTTATAAGTGTTTCGTTGACCATTATGAGATTAACGTATTAAATTGAAGATATTATGAAGGCATATTAAATCTTCCTTTATTAGCGATATCGCGTTAATGATTGATTGAAGTCAATAATAAATCGATAAAGTCTTTAAACCTAAGTAAGTACCTCTTGAATCTCGAGTACTATTTTAGGCTAATGAGAATAAACCAGTCGATATGTGCGTATTTATCGAGCAAATGCACATCCATCTGCACTGTTTACAAGGATCATTGATTTACTGACATGCGTATGTCGTTATTAAAACATGCTGAAAGTAACTACTAATTGTTGAAGATTATACAACATAAAATATTCGTTTCTTTTTAAAGAAGCCTAGAAATATTATTTTCGATTGGAAACAAATTATTTCAAAGAAAGCATTGATTTTTTATTAATCATTTCAACAGTTACCATGAATAATTAATTTTTTAATTAATATTTGTTAATTTTGCTATGTACGTTGCAATTATCATCTTTTAAGCCATTCATATAGAGATGAGAAATCATATAGAGATGAAAATTGGCGGACATAAATGAATCGAGTTCATTGAGAAGCAATATTGTTTAGGAAATATATTTCCGCAGCCGTTTTATGGCACACTTAAAAAATCATGATCATCGTGAATTTCAACGCACTGATATTTTTACCGAACTTCATTGAAGGCGTCAGTAGTAATATATTTCCAACCAAAACCGCGCGATTGGTTCGCCGCTAAAAATAAAGGTACGATTCGGTGGGCTATAAGTCCGTTCGTTATTGTATAGAATGTAAATATTTATGGAACATCGAATACATTTAACTCCACGCTAGAAATCTCGTTTCTCAAATGAAAATCCATGCATATGACTTTGTAGATTTGAAATATTATTGGCGGCATTTCGCTCTCTTCTTCGATCGTTTTGTCGTGCGTTTTAACCCGACAAGTTTTCCCCAAAATTGAAATTGAACGGAAATAGTTGATTTGTGCCTGCAATCGCGATCAATTGGACGCGAATAGACGAGGAATTCGGAAAGCGAAAAATAAACGGATTGTTCACGCGGTTATTTTGATTCTCTTTAAATCCATTTGTTACAGAAAAAAACATCTGATATCCAGTAAATATCAACCAAAATTAATATAATTATAATATAATTATAATTATCTACTATATATAATTATAATTATCTATATAATTTTCTACTCAACAATGTAACTGTGTTATATAATTGTTAATGTTGTATATATTACAATTATATTATTAGTTATATTAATTATAACTAATAATTACACATAAAGAATGGTTTTGCTGAAATATCTAAAAAAATGTTACTAAAAATATATATAGATCTGAAAATAAATAAATTTTGTTGAGCTACCAAAATAATTATGTAAGATACTGATCGCTAGAATATTAAAATCTTTTTTGCAGCTTTGCTCATCATGGTGAAATTTTCTACACAAATATTTCGATGGACCAATAAAATTATTTTCAGATCTGTATGTAGTTAAATTTTTAGATATTTCAACAAAACTATTCTTTCTGCGTATGTTTATTAGTTAGCATTTGATGGATAAAATTAATCTTCACTTTTATGAATAATCATCAATTTTAAGAAAAACTCGTAACCAACAAGATTATCATTGAATCTTATTTATTATGTCTATCTTAAATTTTATGCTGCAAATCGTTCTAAAATCTCGGACAGAGAAAGAATTAATTAATTACATTGATCAAATTGTTTAAATTTGATTATTAATTCTTTCTCCATTCGAGATTTCGGTGCGATTTCTATTATTACGGGTTTGATATACAAGGTTTTATTATCAAGAAAGTAAACTTCAATCGTGATATCAAGATAATATCGTCTTCATCTTACCAGTCCGCCGATCGCAGTGTAAAGCATTAGGATGATCAGTAGCCCCACGTGACCGCCGATCGATTTGATTTTTCGCAGCGTTTCTTTCTTGATGAATTGTCTGGTGTTCTCGCTATTCGTCGCAGTGCCGATTTCGACAGATGAATTGTAC